ACAGAATTATATAAGCTGTCCTTGTATTGGGATGTTGAACACAGGGTAGGTTAAAAGGATAAGATAGTATAATGAGCTAGACTGGTCAATGTTTTTAGGAATCTGAGATGCTGAAGGATGGCAGGTTTTAAGTATCCAAATCTAAAGCCTTTTATGCATTTGGCTGTTTTGTATTTATAGGTTTCTGCCTACTCTGGTAGGAGGTGCTAATTTACTAAACTTCATTCATTTTGAGACAATGGGGAAAAAAGATTCTTTCTTCATAGCAAACAAGTGCTATGTTTTGGACATTCTGAATGTGTCAGGCATACACACAGAAAGGGAGATGTACAGATTTTTATTATTATTGATTTCAGAGAGAGAAACATCGATGAGAATCATTGATTGGTTGCCTCTTGCACACCCCCTACTGGGGATCGAGCCTGCAACTGGGGCATATGCCCTTGACTGGAATCGAACCCGTGATCCTTCAATCCGCAGGCTGAAGCTCTATCCACTGAACCAAACTGGCTAGGGCGAGATGTACAGATTTTTTTTTTTTAAATATATTTCATTGCTTTTTTACAGAGAGGAAGGGAGGGAGATAGAGAGTTAGAAACATCGATGAGAGAGAAACATCGATCAGCTGCCTCCTGCACACCTCCTACTGGGGATGTGCCCACAACCAAGGAACATGCCCTTGACCGGCATTGAACCTGGGACCTTTCAGTCTGCAGGCCGATGCTCTATCCACTGAGCCAAACCGATTAGGGCGAGATGTACAGATTTTTAACATTAGTTCTGCGTGATGCTTAAGTAAAGGAATGGTGTTTGCAAAAGTGAGTTTAATGTTGGAAAATTAAAGTTGTGTCTCCAGGACTATCTCTATTAATGCATTGGAGTAATTTATGATAGCGCCAGTTTTGAAATTACAGTGAAAGCATAGAACACACAAATCAAACTAGGCCCTGGCTGGCATGGCTAATGGTTAAGACCGTCAGCTGGCTCACGGGTTCAATTCCAGTTCAAGGGCATGTGTCCGGGTTGCAGGTTCATCCCCAGCCCTGGTCAGGGTGTGTGCGGGAGCCAGCTAATGGATGTGCCTCTCAAATTGATGTTTCTTCCCCTTCCTCCCTCTCTCCCTCCCACTCTCTAAAAATCAAGGGGAAACGTATCCTCAGGTGAGAACCAAAAAAAAAAAGAAATGCTTAAGTACTATAAAACAATCACAAATACAGAATCTATACTAATAAAAGGACAATATGCTAATTAGACCGGGTTGACGAGGACATCTTCTGGTAGTCTGGTCCTCCTTCCGGACAAAGCCACGGTGGTAGGGGCAGAGGCAGGTGCGATCAGGCTGGCAGGTGAGGGGTTAGGGGCAATCATGCAGGCAGGCAGGTGAGCAGTTAGGAGCCAGGGGTCCTGAATTGGGAGAGGGATGTCCGACTGCCAGTTAATCCCCCAAGAGGTCCTGGATTGGAGAGGATGCACGCCAGGCTGAGGAACACACCTCTCCCCCTGTACCCCCTCCCCTGCACGGATTTTGTGCACCAGGCCTCTAGTTATATAAAAATAGATGGGTTACATTAAGTAATTGGTTAGATTTTTTTTTTCTGTTAGTATGTATTTTTGGTATAGCTTTGGCTATTAAATTATTTTTAAAAGAGTTTTATTGGGAAAAGATTATTTATGTGCTTTGTACAAATGTAGGGCTGGATAAGCACATAGGTTGAGTTTGTTTAATATGTTTTTATTAATTTCAGAGAGGGAGGGAGGGAGAGAAACATCAATGATGAGAGAGAATCGTTGATTGGCTGCTTCCTACACGCCCCCTACTGAGGATGGAGCCTGAAACCTGGGCATGTGCCCTTGACCAGAATTGAACCCAGGACCCTTCAGTCCGCAGGCTGACGCTCTATCCACTGTGCCAAACCAGCTAGAGCTAGGTTGAGTTTTTGAACTAGGAAAAAGATAGTTTTATATTAGCTATGTAGGTGCATGTATTTATACATGAGTATATTCCTTTATTTACTGATACCATCATTGTTCACTTTTTTTAAAATATATTTTACTGATTTTTTACAGAGAGGAAGGGAGAGGGATAGAGAGTTAGAAACATCGATGAGAGAGAAACATCGATCAACTGCCTCCTGCACACCTCCCAGTGGGGACATGCCCACAACCAAGGTACATGCCCTTGACCGGAATCGAACCCGGGACCCTTCATTCCCCAGGCTGACGCTCCATCCACTGAGCTAAACCGGTCAGGGCCTTGTTCACTTCTTGACGTAATTCTACTTGACCTACAATTTTTAAAAAATATTTTTTTATGATTTTGTAGAGGAAGAGAGATGGAAACATCAGTGATGAGAGTGAATCAGTGATTAGCTGCCTCCTGCACACCCCCTAATGGGGATCAAGCCTACAACCCAAGCATGTGCCCTTGACCCAAATCTAATTCTGGACCCTTCAGTCTGCAGGTCAATGCTCTTACCAACTGAGCCAAACCAGCTAGGGCAACCTGCAAAATTTTTCCCCTAAACCATTTCTTGCTCTGGTCATGTTACAAATGGCTTAATCAAGACTTTTCAAACAATCTGTGTTTTCAGATGTCTGTTTCCCAATGTTTTCTATGTCGATTTCATGCTTTAGCCAGAACTACTCTTTGGCTAATAGACTTTCCAACTAGCTCATTAATTTTATCTATGGAGGCATCTTTCCTATGAGTGCATACTGAAGTCCTATGCAGACACCTGGCATGTCTCCAACAAGAAGTGGTCTTTACCTAAACTCAATGGAGTTGTCTACAAAAATGGTTGTATTTCTTGCTTGTCTGATCTTTTGAAAAGAATAAACTGGGTTGCTTAGTTGTTTTTTTTTACGACGAAGTCATCAAATGGGTTAGTTAAATTACAGTGTAGAGCTGTAATAAGTAGACTGCTAAAAAGAGAGAAATTAACTTTCAAAAGGGATTTAGGTGGTTTGAGGTCTCATGTAGTGATAAGTTTTGCATTGGTTTCCACAAATGCATGTAGTAATCATGTTCTCTCCACACTGAATAATTTTAGAGACCTGGATTGATTACCTGATTCATTTTTTAGGGGGCTGGAATTTTTATTATATTTTGATAATGAGTACTCAAGGTATTTTACAGCTGCTCTTTCATGAGTGATTTTGCACAGAATCAAGTCATTTACAGTTGACTCTTAAACTTTTTTGGTGTACAAGATGGTGCTCCAACCAACCGAGCCACCTAGTCAGGTCCCCATAAACTCTTAAAAATTTTGTTTTGGTGTTCATCCTCACTAAATGAAAGAATTTAGGTCAGACAGTATTTTAAGAGTCTCATGCTCTACCGACTGAGCTAGCCGGGCACCCGTGGTCAGACAGTATTTTAAATGAGCATAAAATGTGTTTGTACAGAAATCATTTTGCTCTAAACTTTGATTGACTTAAAAAATATACCTGAAGTCCTCAGAAAGGCATGCAAATTTTTCTTCAAGAAAAAGTTGAGCCGGGCCTGCATTGCACAGTGGTTGAGCTTTGACTATGAACCATTTACTCTTCAATTCCTGGTCAAGGCACATGCCCGGGTTTCAGGCTCAATCTCCAATGTGGGGCGTGCGGGATGCAGCTGATCAATGATTCTCATCATTGTTTCTATCTCTTCTCTCAGAAATCAGTAAAAATGTATTAAAACATTGAGTTTTGCCTTAGCTGGCTTGGCTCAGTGGATAGAGCGTCGGCCTGCGGACTGAAGGGGTCCCAGGTTTGATTCAGGCCAGGGGCACATGCTTGGGTTGCGGGCTCGATTCCCAGTGGGGGGCATGCAGGAGGCAGCCAATCAGTGATTCTCATCATTGATGTTTCTGACTCTCTCTCCTCCCTTCCTCTCTGAAATCAATAAAAATATATATTTTTTTAAAAAGTTGAGTTTTGTGGATAATGTCAACTCATTACCTATGGCAAAAAAATTGGGAATTTCTTAGGAAAAGAAATTTAGAGATTACATTTAGAAATTTAAGCAGATACCGACACTGACCTAGTTTAGTGCCCTTTGAAAATCTGTCTTAGAAAGACAAAATAGAGCGAGTAATAGATTACAGTATGTTGCATTATTGTTTAGGGCATATGAAATGAAACCAAGTACTGTTTGCTTTGCTTTGTTTCAGATGGAGGAGATGTATAAGAAAGCTCATGCCGCTATACGAGAGAATCCAGTCTATGAGAAGAAGCCTAAGAAGGAAGTTAAAAAGAAGAGGTATGTATCTTACTGTTTTCAAGAGAGAGAGGTTGGGAGTGGTTCCAAACTTGCCTTGTTTCATCTTAACTCAGACTGAGTAAAGTGCAAACTCGATCACTAACTCTGCATGATGTTGCAGAAGTGAAGGGAACCAGGTTTGCTAAAGTAATTGTGGTGATAGAAAGTATTAGCCTCAGAAGCTACTGAGGTGGTTCATTCTATCCTAGTACAGTGTAACTGCCAGTTGCTGCTAATAATGATTCTAAACATTGTACTAGTGTGTTTGATTTTTGGTACTGTGTGGTAATAGGACAGTATCACAGAAGTTGGGGGTTGGGGAAATTAGCCTAAAACAATAAGTGCATTTATTGGAAATCTTATTACAAATAAAACAGCTCTGTCCTCTTTAGCTGTATTTTTAAAAATAACATTTCTGCCTCTTCTTTGTTTTATAGGTGGAACCGTCCCAAAATGTCTCTTGCCCAGAAGAAAGATCGGGTAGCTCAGAAGAAAGCAAGCTTCCTCAGAGCTCAGGAACGGGCTGCTGAGAGCTAATAAACCAAATCATAATTTTCTATGAAGATTTTCCAGAAGAGAGACAATAAACTTATTAGGCAAACAGCTATTTCTGTGTTGAGCTCTTGTTAATGAAACTGTAGGAAATACCCTGAAACTGGCAGTATATTTCCTCAAGAAACAAGTATAGTTTTTTCCAGAAAAAGATATCTTGTGTATTGACTCAAAGTTCACACCTGCTGCTTGGGCTTCTGTTCTCAAGTCTGACAAGCAACATACCAGCCTTCCACTAGGAAATACTTCTTCTTTCATTTATTGTAACCAGATGATTAGTAGGAAGAAAGGTACCTTCAAAGTATGTGATTTTAAATTAAGCAAAACGTGCTAATCTGTGGATTTAATTTTTGAAAGGAAGCTGTCCAATGAAGGTCACATAGCTAAGATTCTTTAATCAGATGAAATCTTTGAGCAGAAAATACTGGGTCTTTTCTCTAGAAGGGTTTAATTTTGTGGAGATGCTGAAAGGTACATGGTCAGATCTGAATAAACATGAAAGAGGAGCAAATCTTTGTATATATAGTTTACATGAGAAAATATTTGATGAATAAATTTACGTGCCTCTAAAATATAGCCCTTTGGTCAACAGAAAATACTGTTTGAAAATGTCAAATTAAAAAGTTCTGATTTCAGGGTCCGCTTAATGACTTCATGACAAATTCAAGGTAAATGGATCTGGATAGGGTCTGTGGCCTTAAGTTGGCTGGCTGATACCAGGATGGACCATTTGAAACTAAGGTGGAAAGCTCAAACGTTTTCATGGCAATTACATGTTGCCAAGTAAAACACTCGAAGGTCTAAGAGCCTCTGAAGCCCTGGCTGGTTTCGCTCAGTGGATAGAGCATCGGCCTGTGGAGATGTTGCGTCCCAGGTTTGATTGTGGTCAAGGGCATGCACGTAGGTTGCAGGCTTCAGGCCCTGGTCGGGGTGCGTGCAGGAGGCAACCAATTGTGTTTCTCACACATTGAAGTTTGTCTTCCACTTGCCCTAAAGATATCCTTGGGTGCGAAAAAAAAAAGAGGCTCCGAAGCCGCATAAAGTATGATGTCTGAGTTAAAATGGGTTTAAGTCTATAATACAACAAAGCATACTACTAACATCTATTTATAAATCAGTAATTTTAATTTGCTTTGCAGTCTTCATTTCTGTTAATGTGCAAACTTTACCATGCTAAGACATTAGTAAATTTATGTATAAATTTCAAACAGCAGCTTCAATGCAAACAATGTTTCCAGCAGTGGTATTTTGGCTAACAAATCTACAAAATAATATCACTGTTGATGTCTGGAATGAGGCTTCACAGCATTATTTTAAAGTCAGTCAAATAGTTACACAGTGAATGTACTGGGGATGGTACCAGGGCTTCTGAAAGCAGGAATTACATTTTGGGGGACCTATTGATCCTATACCTCCTGTCATTCAGCAACAGACATGTATTTTAAGACGATGGCTTCTTAGGAACGGGAAATGAGTTTTGTACCGGCAGGGATTTCAGTCAAGCCATTTTTTTAGAGTGCTCCAACTTTTCTAAGTGGTAAGTTTCCCACAGTGGTTACACTGTCCAAATGAACTACGAGTCATTTGTGTAGGAAATTTTCTTCCACAGTAATGTTTTTAGGTTATTTAGTATCAAAGAATGTTCCATTTCCATTTGATTTGCTGTGACTTTGAGGGCAATACAAGAATAAAGTTGCTTTTCTAATTCTTCACGAATTTCACTTGGAGCACCACGCAATAGGTAGTCTTTGAGTAACTGACAGGCTTTTGCCAAGTTTGGTTGTATCACTTCTGAAGTACACTTCATTGTACTCTGATCACAGCTAGTTCGACAATCCGTGCCATAGACACAGTCCAAATCAGACTCACAGTGACGATCCTTTATAAGTTCTTTCAGGTTTGTCTCTGGCACAATTTTTCTCATGTCTACCATTTTCAAATCATACTTATCATTATATCCTAGGTTTTTGGCACTAGTGTCACACATGAGGAAGTTTCCGTAGGGGCCATGGAAAACATCTTCCACAAACTCCAGCAGTCCTATGGCTATTTTAGCCTTTCTGGGCCATGATGGTGTGAACAACTGATCCATGCTTCTTCTGAACCCAGAGGGAATAAAAAGTTCAATGACCCATGGAAGGCTTATTCCATAAAGAGAGGTATATTCAACACTTTCCATTACATAGAGATCACCACAGAATCCCATTAATTTGGGGGTATGTTCCTTATCTTGAAGTATCACCATGAGAAGAAATTCATTTAATTGAAGAAGTGCCCATGCTGACTTCGCTTCTCCCAAGGAAACTTGGCCGTCTTTGTCTCCATCAGCCACCGTCAAGATGAGATTAACCAGTTCAGAGAGGTTTCCCTGGTCACCCAATTTTGCCTATAAAGATAAGATGTTAGCAAATGGAAAAATACTTCCTTTATGGGGATTATTATCATGCTAAGTAATAATTTTGCTACTGAATCCCCATAAGGAACTTAAAACAGAATCCAAATATTTATGATGCTAAGTGAGAACTATATTTTATGTGAATGCAATAAAACTTGGCTTAAGTCTATTAAGAAATGGCCACCCTAGGTTCCATAACCCTCTTATACTCTGCATAAATACAGTTAACGAGGACACTAAGTAATTATTCTGTCTTATTCATAGATTTACTTGCAAAATTGCAGTGTAATGTGCTCATCTTACCTAATAACAGACAAACATGTAAACCGACTGTCCCTCTGCTATGCTCACCAGCCAATCAGGAGAGTATGCAAATTAACCCAACAAAGATGGCGGTTAATTTGCATATGTAGACACTGAAGACTCCAGCCGGAGCGAAGGCCTGGATCCCCGGTGCCAGAGGAAAACCGGTGCCAGCAGCCAGGGGAAGGGAAGGCCTATTGTACGAATCTCTTTGTGCAACGTGCCTCTAGTATCCAATTATAAGAAGGGTCAACTGAAAATTATTTTTTGTAGTTATCACATTAATGTAATTATTTTAAGTTACATTATTCTAATAATGAAGGTAAAAATGTATTCCCCTGCTTGGGATAAAATAATTTGAAAATGTAAGCTCTCCAGAGAAAAAGATTATAAGAGCAATAAAAAAAAGATTCTTTGCCCTGGCCGGTTTGGCTCAGTGGATGGAGCATTGGCCTGCGGACTGAAGAGTCCCAGGTTTGATTCCGGTCAGGGGCATGTGCCTTGGTGGTGGGCACGTCCCCAGCAGGAGGCAGCTGATTGATGTTTCTCTCTCATCGATGTTTCTGGCTCTCTATTCCTCTCCCTTCCTCTCTATAAAAAAATCAATTAAAAAAAAGATTCTTTCCCAAAGTGTAATTGTTTTCATCTTTTAATACTTCTAATTAATCTCTGTATGAGGATTTCTTTAAAATTTAAAAAAATAATTTGCAAAGCAGGTTGTACTGATTTTATTTCACCTTTTCAAAATGTATCAGCTACAATGTCAAACTACAGAACTCCCCTCTCATATCTGGACATTTTTAGCTTATAATATTAAAGTAAATATCTTCCACACATTTTTTCTTTTCTTTGAATTATTTCTCTCAAGATAAGAGTCTTGATACAGGTCAAAGAATAGCAACATTCTTGTGGTTTAGAATGAGGTGCTGGCAATTCTTTCAGGAGAGTGTAGTGATTCATACTAGCAACATGTGAATAGATATACTTACTTTAAAGAGACTGTAGACCATTTCTTTGAATTTCTGTACAGTAGTTCCCCTAGTTGGTTTATCAAATAACACTACTTCTTTTCTTGGTTCCAATTCAGTTCCAAAATCAAGATGAAGTGCTTGTTCCATTTGACATTTCACAACCCCTGGTAGATTATCCCAAATCCCTAAATACATCTATGTGAAAAAGAATGGCAAGTTATGCTTTAGGCTAAATAGGAAATTACCACTATATTTTTAGTGTCCTCCTCCTCCTCTAAAAACACACACATACAAACACTGAGACTGTGACTTTCTTTTTAAATTGCAAATTAGAAATCATACTCTGAATATTTTTCCTCTTAATTTTTTTAAATTACAAAAGTAATGTATGCCTACATATATATTTTCCAACCATGATCAATTTTATTTTTCCACTTTTTATTATGGTAAAATTATAAAAACAATATTTTCCATCTTAACCATTTTTAGTTTACAATTCAGTGGTATACATTAATGAAGTTGTGCTACCATCACCACCATCCTTTTTAGAACTCTTTTCTTTTTGTAAAATGGAAACTCTATACCGTTAAACAATAATTCTTCCTTACCTCTTTCCTCCCAGGCCCTGGCATCACCTTTCTACTTTCTGTCTTTATGATTTTTGACTACTGTCTCATATAAATGGAATCACACAGAATTTGTTTTTTTGTGACTGGCTTACTTCACTTAGCATTATGTGCATATTGTAGCATGTGTCCGGATTTCCTTCCTTTTTAAAGTTGAATAATGTTCTATTATTAATATATCATATTTTGCATTTCCATTCATCTGCCAATGAGCATTTGGGTTGCTTCCATGTTTTAGCTATTGTGAATCATGTTGACATGAACATGGATGTGAAATATCGCTAAAATAACCCCTGCTCTTAATCCTTCTAGGTATATACCCAGAAGTGGAATTGCTGGATCATAGGTCAATCTATTTTTATATTTTTGAGGAACTGCCATACTGTTTTAGGCAGTGGCTTGTACCATTTTACATTCCCACCAACAGTGCACAAAGGTTCAAATTTGCTGTTGTTTATAGTAGCCATCCTAATTGGTATGAAGCAGTATCTCATTGTGGTTTTAATTTGTATTTCCCTAATGATCAGTAATGCTGTGCATCTTTTCATGTATTTATTGGCCATTTTTATGTCTTTTTTTTTTTTTTTAAATATCTATCCAAGTTCTTTGCCCATTTTTTAATCGAGTTGTTTGGGTTTTTTGTTGTTGCGTTTTAGGAGTTCTCTATAGATTCTGGACATTAATCCCTTATCAGGTATATGATTTGTAAATTTTCTCTAATTTTGTGGGTTGCCTTTTTACTCTACTGATATTGTCTTTTGATACACAAAATATAAAAATTTTCATGAAGCCCAATTTGTCTATTTTTACTTTTGTTGCCTGTTCCTTTTGGTGTCATACCCAAGAAATCATTGCCAATCCAATGTCATAAAGTTTTTACCCTATGTTTTAATCTAAAAGTTTTATAGTTTTAGATCTTACATTTATATCTCTGATCCATTTTGACTTTAATTTTGCATATGATATTAGCTAAGGATCCAACTTCATTCTTTTGCAGGTAGATATTTAGTTTTCCCAGCACCATTTGTTGAAAAGATAGTCCTTTCCATATTGAATGGTCTTAGTACCCCTGTCAAAAATCATCCTGCTATAAATGTGAGGGCTTTTTCTGAGTTCTCTATTCTATTCCATTGATTTATATGTCAGTCATTATTCCAGTACCACTGTTTGGATTACTGTAGCTTTATAGAAAAATTTGAAATAACAAGTATGAGTCCTCCAGCTTTGTACTTCTTTTTCAAGATTGCTTTGTCTATTAAGGGTTCCTTGAGATGCCATATTAATTTTAGGAGGGGGTTTTCTATTTCTGAAAAAATTGTCATTGGGCCCTGGCCAGCGTGATTCAGTGTTAGAGATCATGGGTTTGATTCCAGGTCAAGGGCATGTACCTGGGTTGCAGATTTGATCCCTGGCCCTGGTAAGGGTGCCTGTAGGAAGCAACCAATTGATGTGTCTCTCTCACATCAATGTTTCTCTCTTTCTCTCTCCTCCCACTCTCTCTAAAAATCAATGGAAATATATATCCTTGGGTGAGTATTAACAAAAACAAAGTCATTGGGACTTTCATAGGGATTGCATTGACTTTGTAGAGCCCTTTGGGTAATATTAACAAGTTAACAATATTTAGTGTTCCAACCCATGTACATGGGATGTGTTCCATTTATTTATGTCTTTGATTTATTTCAGAAGTTTTCATTGTACAAGTCTTTCACTTCCTTGGTTAAATTAATTACTAAGTATTCTTTTGGATGCTATTGTAAATAGAATGGTTTTCTTAATTTTATTTTTGCTTTGGCCATTGTTGGTGTATAGAAATGCAATTGACATTTGTGTGTTGAATTTGTTTCATGCTATTTTGCTGAACTCACTTATTAGTGCTAACAATTTTTGTGTGTGGAATCTTTAGTCTGTGTGTTTTCTTTTTTTGCCTTTTAATATATTTTTTTATTGATTAAGATATTACATATGTGTCCTTATCCCCATGTTACCCCCTACTCCCCCCACCACCCCGCTCATGCCCTCATCCCCCCGTTGTCCGTGTCCATTGGTTAGGCCTATATGCTTGCATATAAGTCCTTTGGTTGATCTTTCCCCCTTACCCCCACCCTCCCCTACCTTCCCTCCAAGGCCCGACAGTCCAATCAATGCCTCCCCGTCTCTGGATCAGTCCTTGTTCATCAGTTTATGTTGTTATTCCACAAATGAGTGAGATCATGTGGTATTTATCCTTCTCTGACTGGCTTATTTCACTTAGCATAATGCTCTCCAGTTCCATCCATGCTGTGGCAAATGGTAAGAGTTCCTTTTTCTTCTTCCTCTTCTTAAAGAATACCTTTCAGCATTTCATATAATGCTGGTTTGGTGGTGATGAATTCCTTTAGCTTTTTCTTATCTGTGAAGCTCTTTATCTGACCTTCTATTCTGAATGATAGCTTTGCTGGATAAAGTAATCTTGGTTGTAGGTTCTTGGCATTCATCACTTTGAATATTTCTTGCCACTCTCTTCTGGCCTGCATGGTTTCTGTTGAGAAATCAGCTGACAGTCGTATGGGTACTCCCTTGTAGGTAACTGACTTTTTTTCTCTTGCTGCTTTTAAGATTCTCTCTTTGTCTTTTGCTCTTGGCATTTTAATTATGATGTGTCTTGGTGTGGTCCTCTTTGGATTCCTTTTGTTTGGGGTTCTCTGCTCTTCCTGGACTTGTAAGTCTATTTCTTTCACCAGGTGGGGGAAGTTTTCTGTCATTATTTCTTCAAATTAGGTTTTCAACATCTTGCCCTCTCTCTTCTTCTGGCACCCCTATAATTCTGATGTTGGTACGCTTGAAGTTGTCCCAGAGGCTCCTTACACTATCTTCATATTTTTGGATTCTTTTTTCTTTTTGCTTCTTCGGTTGGGTATTTTTTGTTTCTTCGTATTTCAAATCTTTGACTTGATTCTTGGGATCCTCTTATCTGCTGTTGGATCTCTGTACATTATTCTTTATTTCAGTCAGTGTATGCTTAATTTCTAGTTGGTCTTTTTTCATATCCTCCAGGGTCTCACTAAATTTATCGGCGGTTTCCATAAAATTCTTGAAAAACCTTATAAACGTGGTTTTGAACTCTATATCCAGTCGTTTGCTTTCCTCCATTTCTGCCATTTGTGACCTGTTTCTTTGTCTCCTCATTTTTTATGCTTCCCTGTGTTGGTAGAGTGGTTTTGTGTGCTAGGTGTCCTGTAGGGCCCAGTGGCTCAGCCTCCCCCTTTACGTGAGGTGGACACTCTTGGTGCACCCCCTTGTGGGCTTTGTGCATAGTCTTGTTGTAGTTATGCCTTGATTGTTGTAGGTATCACTGGGAGGAATTGACCTCCAGGCCAATTGGCTGTGAGAATCAGCTGTGTCTGCAGTGGGAGAACTTCTGTGCTGGAGACACCCTTCTGGAGCAAGACTTGCTTCAGTGGGGCTTTGGTGCTCATTGAGTCTGCCCCCTGAGTGTGTCCCTTATGGATCTGAGGAGTTGTAATCTGGATGGTCCCCCTCTGACCACTGGGTACACTGGCTCTTGGATCTAAGGAGGTGCTAATTTAGTCTCTGCCTGAGGTTACCCAGCAAGAGCTACAAAAAGATCTGCAGATTACCCTTCCTTTTTTGGAGTTTGGAGGTGCCCAGATGAGGCCCAGCTGTGAAGCAATGCAAGCTGCTGTGGGGCCTTGGGCCTTCTCTTGGAAGTTCTGGGTCTGTCTGGCCCAGCTGCAATTTGTTAGGTAATTTTCAGGTTGCAAAGGGCCAGGGCATTCATATGCAAAAGCCTCTGCCGCAGCCTGGGTGGGGCGGGGTCTCAAGGAATCAACAAGGTGGAGCAAACAGCTATGGCTGATCTCGGTGTCCCGGTAATTTAATTGCTGCAAGCACCTCTGAGGGAAAGCCGCCCTCGAGTTACGAGTTCTGCCTGCTGCCAGACAGTCCAGTTTCTCCCCGTATGAGTCCTGGGTCCCCAGAGACTTCCCGGAACCGGAGTTCAGAGCAGTCGGGAGCTTGTGACTTTCTCCTGATTCAAAAAGACAGCTGCATCCTCAGGTACCAGCCCCTTTTCGCGCGTGCGCTCGAGCCTCCGTACCTCTGCACTTTACTTCCGCAGCTCCTGAGTCTCAGAGTGCTTTTCTCTTTCCTTTTAGTTGTAGAATTTCCACTCAGCCAGCCTTCCTGTAGTTCTGGATGATGTCCGTTTTGTCTTTTTGTTGTATTTTTGAAGTTGTAGGAGGCAGCAATTTTGGTGTTTACCTATGCCGCCATCTTGGTTTTGAGGCCTGTGTTTTGTTTTTTTACAACAGATCATATAATCTGTCAAGAGAGATCATTTTACTTCTTCCTTTCCAATTTGGATGCCTTTTCTTTTTCTTGTCTAACTGATCTGGCTAATGGCCAGAAATTCCAGTGTTTTGATGAATAGAAGTGGCAAAAGTGGGGATCCTAATCTTGTTCCTGATCTTAGAGGAAAGGTTTTCAGTCTTTCACCATTAAGTATGTTAGCTGTGGGCGTTGTTTTTTTTTTCATATGGGTTTTACTATTTTAAGGTAGTTGCCTTATAGTCCTAATTTGTTGATTATTCTTATCATGAAAGGGTACTGAATTGTGTCAATGCTTGTTCTGCATCAATTGAGATGATCCTTTTCTTTTTCCTTCTTTCTGTTAACATGGTGTATTACATTGATCAATTTTCCTATGTTGAACCATCCTCACATACCAGGAATAAACCCCCACTTGGTCAGGATGCATGATCCCTTTATTATTTATTTTTATTTTTTATCCTCACCCGAGGACATTTTAGAGAGAGAGAGGAGAGAGAGAGAGAGAGGGAGAGAGAGGAGAGGAGAGGAGAGGAGAGGAGAGGAGAGGAGAGGAGAGGAGAGAGATGAGTTAGAGATGAGACAGAGAAATATCAATCAATTGCCTTCCATGTTTGTCCAACGGACTGGGAATTGAACCTGCAACCTATGTATGAGTCATGAGCAGATATCGAACTCATAACCTTTTGGTTTATGGGACGATGTTCAAATCAACTGAGCCATCCAGCCAGGACTGTATGATCCTTTTAACTCGCTGCTGAATTTGGTTTTCTAGTATTTGGTTGAGGATTTCACATCAGTGTTTAAAAGGAATATTGGTCTGTAATTTTCTTATAGTGTCTTTGGTATCAGGGTAATGCTGGCCTCACAGAATGAGTTAAAAAGTTTTCCTTCCTCTTCAATTTTTTTTTGGAAAAGTTTGAGATGGATTGGTGATAGTTCTTTAAATGTTTGATAGAATTCACCAGTGAAGCAACACGTCTTTTTCTTGCTAGAAGACTTTTGGTTACTGATTCAATCTCCTTACTAGGTATATATAGTTCTATTCAGATTTTCTATTTCTTGGTAAGTTTTGTGTTTCTAGCAATTTTCCCAATCCATCTGAGTTATCCAATTTTTTGGTGTGCAATTGTTCACAATAACCATATAATCCTTTTTATGAGTAAAAATGTCCCACTTCTTTTCTAATTTTAGCAATTTGAGTTTTCCCTCTTTTTTCTTAGACCATCTAGCTAAAAGTTTGTCTATATTTTCAAAGAACCAACTTTTGGTTTCATTGACGTTCTCTATTGTTTTTCTATTTTCTATTTCATTTATCTGTGCTACAATTTGTATTATTTCTTTCCTTTTGCTAGCTTTGAGTTTAGTTTGTGTTTTCCTAGTACCTTAGTTGTAGACTAGGTTGTTTCTTTGAGATCTCTCTTGTTTCTTCATGTAAGCATTTATAGCTATAAATAAAATTTTAAAAAGTCAAATTACATAAAAGGATGAAAGGCAAAGTTTTCCTATGTTCATTTCCCTAATCCCATACCCCAGAATTAGTCACTACTAACTATCTAGCTATTTATCAAACTAACATTATACGTTCTTACTATGTGCTTTGGTCTATGAATTTATTTTATTATTTTAATACTTATAATAATACTATAAAGTAGATACTATTATTATTCTCAATTTACTGATGAAAAACTGAAGCAGAGAGATGTGAAGGTAACACCACCGTGTGCCCTAGCATGCTGAAGGTGACACAAAAGTGGTAAAGCCAGCATTTGAGCCCACTCAGGCAGTCTACTCTTGCTTATATATAAAAAACAAATAGGGTTAAATTAATTAGTAATAACATTAATTAAAAAAAAGCAGATTATATTACTCCCCTGCTTCAGACCTTCTAATTCAATCTGAATAAAGTTCTAAGTCCTTTCCATTGCCTGTTTGACTTCATATGAACTGGCCTGGCCTTCTTCCCTGATCTGATCTTGTACCACTTACCCCTGGGTCCCTATGTCCCAGCTACATTGGTCTTTCTCTTCCTTGAGCTTATCAACTTAATTCCTGTTTCATGCCTTGCTTCGTTTGCTGTTGGTTATGCTTGGAATGAGCTCTCAGAGATCTTCACACAGTGGTCTCCTTCACATATTCCAAGTCCCAGCTCAGATGTCACCTTAGACAGGCCCTTCCCTCACCACTTGTAGAAGAGATCCCCTTCCATCTCAAGTCATCTCTAACCCATTACCCCATTTTTCTTTTTTTTTTTTTTAATATATATTTTATTGATTTTTCACAGAGAGGAAGGGAGAGGGATAGAGAGTCAGAAACGTCGATGAGAGAGAAACATCGAACAGCTGCCTCCCGCACATCCCCCAATGGGGAAGTGCCCGCAACCCATGCCCCCGACCGGAATCGAACCCGGGACCCCTCAGTCCGCAGGCCGACGCTCTATCCACTTAGCCAAACCGGCTTCGGCTACCCCATTTTTCTTCACAGCCTTTAGCACTGTCTGAAAATGACCTCATTTCTTCATTTATTGAATCGTTTATTATCTCTTCTCTCACATGAGACATAAGGCACAGGAGGCCAGAAGCTTTATGTGTCTTATTCTCCAAGGTCTCACCCAGCGCCTTAAACAGTTCCTATCATGCAGTAGATATTCAAATGTTAGACTGCTTCAGAAATCCTCTTAAACTTTGTTAGCATCATCAACTTAAAATATATTTTAAATTTCTATAATTATCAGAGTAATGATAGAAATTTATATTGGAACTTTCAAAATAATATACAGAAAAGATGTCCTTAAAAATCATGTAATATTCCTCTGCCCAAGGGTAACCAGTGTTGGTGATTGTGACAGTTTCTTCCAGCCTAATAGTATTCTACTGCTCTAATTTATATTTCCTTGATGATAAGTGAGGTAGAAAATGTTTTTCATTGTGTTTATCAGTTAGTCATAGTTCTTCTTTTGTGCCTTAGCGCATCCTGTCCTTTGCCTATGCCTGCGGTTTAATTGTTCATGCAGGTATGAGCTCAAATGTTAGAAAGGTCTCCCTGATCACCTCCTCTAAAGCACATCCCCATCCCCTGCATTCTCCATCAGTTTGCCCTGTGTATCCTAATAAAACACCACATCCTGTAATTATCTATTTATCTATCCACTGTTTATACTCCCCACCCCTCTGGGATTATGTAAGATCCATAAAGGAAGTAATCCTACCTATCTTAACCACCGTTGTAGTCCTAGTAACCAAAACAGTGCCTGGAATATACTGGGAATAGGGGATTAACAAACATCTGTGGGATGAGTGAATCAAAGCATAGAAAATCGGAATATATAAAATGTCCTAAAAATAAACTGTCCTAAAGCTCTGGTTCAATCATTCTTTTAATAACCTTTAGTTTAAGGCAAAATTAGAGTGTGCCACCTGTAATGTTTATTTACAATGTCCATACCTGATTGTTGGGCTTGGTAGATAAGCATTTTCCAAAGTAAAGAGTTTCTGTAACACAAAGGCTGTTACATGCGGGCCCATCAATAACTCCATTCTTGTACTTGTCACACTAAACACAGGAAATAAAAAAGTAGTTAATAGAAAAATGTTCACAAGAAGAAACATAATAAATACAACATAAAGAGATATCTATATTCTTTAAGAGAAGGCCCTCAATAAAAATAACTCGGTATTGGATTTGAATCCATGCTCTGTTCCTTATTAGCTCTATGATGCTGAGAGACCTTGTTGCGACAAGGGTGTGCATAGAATTTTGAAACTATTTTTCCCACTTAACATGGTCTGAGGTGGTATAGTACCTACTCTCTCCAAGAATAGGGCACTCTATTTTCCAAAATAGCTCTCTTGTTTTAAAATAAATTTAAAATAAAGTTTAGATTACCAAAATGTTTTAAAATAACAAAATAAAGTTACCTCTGTCATCCCTGACATCATCCAAAAATAAGAAATAAACTTGGGGTGGTGAACATACAATACAGTGTACAGATGATGTGTTCTAGAATTGAGCACCTGAAACCTGTAGAATTCTGTTAACTGGTGTCACCCCAATCAATTCAGTAAAAAGGGGAAAAAGGAATAAAATTTAAAAAAGAAATGCAAGCTCTATCTTCGATAAAGTAAGGTACCAATGTAACCCTAAGACACAATAATGAGAATGGCCTGCCAAATTCAGTGAAAATTACACCAGAGTCCACAAGCATGCTGAGATTAAATACCTGCTCTGACCTCAATTCTCAGACAAAGCTGGCAGAACACTGCACAGGAGGTACATCTGAGGAGAAGAACCATCTCCCTGGCTGCACTGAAGGCTTAAGGGACACAGCTGTGGGAACTTCCAAGGACTCTATTTGGCATCATGAAGTACAGGGCAAGGCAGTGCTGAATGATAAAACCCTTTAAGATGTTGTCTATGTGGGGGGTAGTCTGTTAATGAAACAGGGGTTGGAAAACACTGTATCACGAGCAGCTTGTAATTGCCAGGGAGATAAACAGGCTTAACCCATCTGTGTGAGTGTCTCTGTCTCACCTTTGTTCTTTTGTGCACACACACACACACACACACACACACACACACACACACAACTCTGGGCACAGCAGCTTCACTACAGGCTCAGTTCACTGCCCCAGTTGCTTCCTATAAATACTCAGTAGTGAGTAACAATAAAACAACAACAACAACAACAAATATGAGGTTTGTATAGCAAACATACAAGAAAAAGGAGTAAAGAATAGGAAAAGCAAGTGTCAGATAAAGAAAATTTCCAGAAAAATGTCATGAAGCAGAACAAACATTGCTGTGAATTCAAAGGACTTAATGAAAAGGTTTAAAATAAGACCTCAACAGATAGTAAGTGCTCAGTAATAGCAATAGTTATTTTACATAGCCCAACCTTTTTCAAGTAAAAGGCATCAAATGCTTTTAAACACATAAGGATCAGAAAATATAACATCCAGTAGCATTTCTTGAACCATTAGAGAATGAATTTCAGGCAACCAAGAGATGAATGGAGAAACTAAACATGAAAGCCAGTTGAAATGTTGGACTGGGATTAAAATAACTCTGGGCATCTATTTCTTGATAATTGTTTATACAATATCTGATAGTTAATAGATACTTACTATGTGTCAGGCACTGTTCTAGTGCTATACTTTTATTATCATGACAATAACCCTATTATATCCATTGAACCTGTTTTATATCTATGGTAAAAATAAGGAAACAGAAATATCTGTAAAGTAACTTGCTCAAGGTCACATAGCTCATTCTCTTTAGCACTACTGTATATTGTTCAGAATGTTGATATTATAAACTACTAGAGGCCCGGTGCACGAAATTCATGCACAGGTGGGGTCCGTAGGCCTGGCCGGTGATCAGGGCTGATTGGGGCCAGGCTGATCAGGGCCAGGCCAGAGAGGAGGTGATGGTCTCTGGGCCGGGCACTAAAGGAACGGATGCCAGACTCCGATGCTGCCATCGTCAGCACCCCACCACTGTGTGGTTCCCTGCCTCCCCTCCTCCTCTTTCCTTCACTGCCGTGCCGCCACTGCAGCAGGTGGACAGCAGGCTGATCAGGCCCTGCCGGCTGGGGAGAGGAAGAGAGGGACAGGGCACGGGAGGTTGGCTGCTGGCTCTGAGGAGGGAACTGGCCCTCGGCCCCCCTGGGAAAGGGGCCACATCTGCCACCTTACCCCCCTTCCTACCCCCCCGCCCGGTTCCCCATCCCAGCCCAGGACCCAAAGGCCCCAGCGGGGTCAGGAGAGGAGGCAATGGTCAGCAGGCCGGGGTGCAGAAGGAATGGATGCTGGATGCTGCAGCCGCTATCATCAGCGCTCTGCCACCGCGTGGTTCCCTGCTTTCCCCCTCCTCCTTCCCTCGCTGCCTTGCCGCCACCATGGTGGGCAGGTGGTGGGCCAATCAGGGCCTGCCAGCTGGGGGGAGGGATGGGGCACAGAAGGTTGGCCACTGGACCCAGGGAGGGAGCCAGCCCTTGGCCCCCCTGGGAAAGGGGCCTCATTTGCCGCCACCCACTCCAGGTTCCCCATCCCAGCCCGGGGCCTGCCAGCGGGGGGAGGAATGGCAGGAGGTTGGCCAGCCGGGGGAGGCTGACTGTAAAAGCACACTGCCCATCAGGGGGCAGCTCCTGCGTTGAGCGTCTACTCCCCGGTGGTCAGTGCACGTCATAGTGACCGGTCGTTGCAGTCACTTAGGCTTTTGTACATATAGATGCTAGTAAAAGTAATAAAACTAACAAAACTCAAGGAGGAGACATGTAAGAAGATGGCGTGTGGCAAAAGAATGTTGATTTCCTTATCTTTACTATTCACGGTCAAAAGATAACATTTACATCTAATAAGTCAAATTATAGAGACAGAAATATATTTAAAAATATAGAGGTAATCCCTAGCAGAACTACTAATAATAATACATTGATTAAAATTTGGTGGAATAAAGAAGATGGGATGAAACAAAGCATAAAAATTTTACTATTGTTTCTAATAGGAATATAGCCTTTTAAAAATTTTATATTGGTTAATTCATTATTTCTGCTTTCTTTACATTTTTTCTAATTTAATGAATTTTTAATTAATCTCTTGTTTTTTTTGCCATTTATTAATGTAATTAAGACCTTATATCCTTCTCTAAATAGCTCAATTTTTCTTTAGCTTTATCTTTAGTTTCTGATATATTTTATTTTATTTTTATTGATTTTAGAGAGAGAGGAAAGGAGAGAAACATTGATTTGTTGTTCCATTTATTTATACGTTCATTAGTTGATTCTTGTATGTGCTCTGACCAGGGATCGAACACAGAACCTTGGCACATTGGGACGATGCTCTAACCAACTGAACTACCCAGCCAGGGCTCTGATGTATTTTAAAATATATATTATTGATGTTACTTCCTAGATACTTAAATTTTCAATTTGCACTTTCTCTTTGGCTCAAGAATTAAAAGGATATTTAAAAGTTTTCCAGTTAGATTTTTGTTCATTTCAAGTTTTATTGTATTGTGATTGGAAAGTGCTGTTTCTGCTATTTCCACTAAGTGGGATATATTAAGGTTTGGGTCTAACACTTCCCACAGTTTGATGTGAGGATAGAGGAGCCCTCACAGAGATGGAGAGCACTGCCCGTGGCAGAGTTAAGTGCCAGCCCCTTCAGCTACCATTAGCAGAGACGCTCCTAGGTGAGCCCTCAGCCATGCTTGCTTTCTCCGTCAGGCCTGGTTGTAACCACGAATATTAGCTTTCATCTTCATGGGAGGAGCGGGGCAGTAGTTCTCAGACTCAGGTTCGGGGGGCGGGGATCACACAGAGATGCTCAGTATTTTCGTCCCCAGGTCAACTCGTAGGGATTTGTAGGAAATGCAGAGCCATCTGCTTGGTATCTTTGCTTGGTACCAGATGGCCATCAATTTCATTGGCATGTTTATTGAGGCAAAGGTGGTGGAGTTCGGAGGCCTTATTCATAAACTGGGATGAAACCTCTGGAAGGTATAGTTTAGGTTTTCCAAGGAATTAAGACTGGATAAACCACATCCTCTGACCACAAAGAAATGAGAAATCAAAATAAACACAGACATGTGTGGAAACTACAAAGCACATTCCTAACTAATTTGTGCACTAACGGGGACATCACAGTGGAAATGCAAAATATCTAGAACTGAACAACAAAGGTATACAAATAAAAATCCGTGGGATGCAGCTACCCCGTTCTTAGAGGGAAACTGTCAGCTTTAAACACAATGATGAAAAAGCAAGAGACAATATAAGCCGAAACCGGTTTGGCTCAGTGGCTAGAGCGTCGGCCTGCGGACTGGAGGGTCCCGGGTTCGATTCCGGTCAGGGGCATGTACCTGGGTTGCGGGCACATCCCCAGTGGGGGATGTGCGGGAGGCGGCTGATCAATGTTTCTCTCTCATCGATGTTTCTAACTCTCTATCTCTCTCCCTTCCTCTCTGTAAAAAATCAATAAAATATATTTAAAAAAAAAAAAGAGACAATATAAGTAGTTAGCACTCAACTAAAGGGGCTTAAAAAAAACACCCATTTTTATTACAACAATAACAGAGTAAGCCCTCCAAAGAAGTAAAAAACCCCCACAGAAATTAATGGAAAAAAAGACCAATGATATAAAAAGCTAGTTCTTTGAAAACTAACAAAAGAGATGAACCTTTTTTAAAAAATATATATATATATTTTTTTATTGATATTTTACAGAGAGGAAGGGAGAGGGATAGAGAGTTAGAAACATCAATGAGAGAGAAACATTGATCAGCTGCCTCCTGTACACTCCCCACTGGGACTTGACCGGAATCAAACCTGGGACCCTTGAGTCTGCAGGCTGACGCTCTATCCGCTGAGCCAAACCGGTTAGGGCAAGAGATGAATCTTTAGCAAGACTGATCATAAGAAAAAGAGGTGCCCTGGCCTGTGTGGCTCAAGATGGTTAGAGCATTGCCCCAACACCAAAAGGTCACAGGTTTTATCCCTGTCAGGGTGTGTGTGGAAGGCAACCGATGGATGCTTCTCTCACACTGATGTTTCT